CTCGCTAACAACACTTGCCTCTAGGTGCTGCCTCACTAACAAACACTTGCCCTGAGGTGCTGCTCACTCGCTAACAACACTTGCCCTGAAGTGCTGCTCGCTAACAACACTTGCCTCTAGGTTGCTGCTCACTAACAACACTTGCCTCTAGGTGCTGCTCACTAACAACACTTGCCTCTAGGTGCTGCTGCTCGCTAACTAACAACACTTGCCTCTAGGTGCTGCTCACTAACAACACTTGCCTCTAGGTGCTGCTCGCTTACAACACTTGCCTCTAGGTGCTCGCTAAAACACTTGCCGCTAGGTGGTGCTGCTCGCTAACAACATTTGCCTCTAGGTGCTGGTTCACTAACAACACTTGCCTCTAAGTGCTGCTCACTAACAACACTTGCCCTGAGGTACTGCTCACTAACAACACTTGCCCTGAGATGGTGCTCGCTAACAACACTTGCCTCAAGGTGGTGCTCGCTAACAACACTTGCCTCTAGGTGCTCACTAACAACACTTGCCTCTAGGTGCTGCTCACTAACAACACTTGCCTCTAGGTGCTGCTCGATAACAACACTTGCCTCTAGGTGCTGCTCACTAACAACACTTGCCTCTAGGTGCTGCTCACTAACAACACTTGCCTCTAGGTGCTACTCGCTAACAACACTTGCCTCTAGGTGCTGCTCACTAACAACACTTGCCTCTAGCTGCTGCTCGCTAACAACACTTGCCTCTAGGTGCTGCTCACCAACAACACTTGCCTCTCGGTGCTGCTCACTAACAACACTTGCCTCTAGGTGCTCACTTACTAACAACACTTGCCTCTAGGTGCTGCTCGCTAACAACACTTGCCTCTAGGTGCTCACACACTAACAACACTTGCCTCTAGGTGCTGCTACTCACTAAAAAACACTTGCCTCTAGGTGGTGCTCGCTAACAACACTTGCCTCTAGGTGCTGCTCGCTAACAACACCTGCCTCTAGCTGCTGCTCGCTAACAACACTTGCCTCTAGCTGCTGCTCACTAACAACACTTGCCCTGAGGTGCTGCTCGCTAACAACACTGCCCTGAGGTGGCTCGCTAACAAACACTTGCCTCTAGGTGCTGCTCACTAACAACACTTGCCTCTAGGTGCTGCTCGATAACAACACTTGCCTCTAGGTGCTCACTAACAATACTTGCCCTGAGGTGCTCGCTAACAACACTTGCCTCTAGGTGCTCACTAGCTAAGAACACTTGCCCTGAGCTGCTCGCTAACAACACTTGCCTCTAGGTGCTGCTCGCTAACAGCACTTGCCCTGAGATGGTTGCTCGCTAACAACACTTGCGTCTAGGTGGTGCTCGCTAACAACACTTGCCTCTAGCTGCTGCTCACTACAACACTTGCCTCTAGGTACTGCTACTCACTAACAACACTTGCCCTGAGGTGCTCACTAACAACACTTGCCTCTAGGTGGTGCTCACTAACAACACTTGCCTCTAGGTGCTGCTCGCTAACAACACTTGCCTCTAGGTGCTGCTCGCTAACAACACTTGCCTCTACGTGCTGCTCGCTAACAACACTTGCCTCTAGGTGCTACTCGCTAACAACACTTGCTTCTAGGTGCTGCTACTCACTAACACTTGCCTCTAGGTCCTGCTCACTAACAACACGTGCCCTGAGCTACTGCTCGCTAACAACACTTGCCCCTAGGTGCTCGCTAACAACACTTGCCCCTAGGTGCTCGCTAACAACACTTGCCTCTAGGTGCTGCTGCTCGCTAACAACACTTGCCTCTAGGTGCTGCTCACTAACAACACTTGCCTCTAGGTGGTGCTTGATAACAACACTTGCCTCTTGGTGCTGGTTGCTAACAACACTTGCCTATAGGTGCTGCTCGCTAACAACACTTGCCTCTAGGTGGTGCTGCTCGCTAATAACACTTGCCCTGAAGTGCTCGCTAACAACACTTGCCTCTAACTGCTGCTCACTAACAACACTTGCCTCTAGGCCCTGTTCACTCGCTAACAACACTTGTCTCTAGCTGCTGCTCGCTAACAACACTTGCCTCTAGCTGCTGCTGCTTGCTAACAACACTTGCCCTGAGGTGCTCGCTAACAACACTTGCCTTGAGGTGCTCGCTAACAACACTTGCCTCTAGGTGCTGCTCACTAACAACACTTGCCTCTAGGTGCTGCTCACTAACAAACACTTGCCCTGAGGTGCTCGCTAACAACACTTGCCCTGAGGTGCTGCTCACTCGCTAACAACACTTGCCCTGAAGTGCTGCTCGCTAACAACACTTGCCTCTAGCTGCTGCTGCTCACTAACAACACTTGCCTCTAGGTGGTGCTCACTAACAACACTTGCCTCTAGGTGCTGCTCACTAACAACACTTGCCTCTAGGTGCTGCTCGCTACAACACTTGCCTCTAGGTGCTCGCTAACAACACTTGCCGCTAGGTGGTGCTGCTCGCTAACAACATTTGCCTCTAGGTGCTGTTCACTAACAACACTTGCCTCTAAGTGCTGCTCACTAACAACACTTGCATCTAGCTGCTGCTCACTAACAACACTTGCCCTGAGATGGTGCTCGCTAACAACACTTGCGTTCTAGGTGCTGCTCGCTAACAACACTTGCCTCTAGGTGGTGCTCACTAACAACACTTGCCTCTAGGTGGTGCTCGCTAACACTTGCCTCTAGGTGCTCGCTAACAACACATGCCTCTAGGTGCTGCTACTCACTAACAACACTTGCCTCTAGCTGCTCACTAACAACATTTGCCTCTAGGTGCTCAATAACAACACTTGCCTATAGGTGCTGCTGCTCACTAACAACACTTGCCTCTAGGTGCTGCTACTCACTAACAACACTTGCCTCTAGGTGCTCGCTAACAACACTTGCCTCTAGGTGCTGCTCGCTAACAACACTTGCCTCTAGCTGCTGCTGCTCGCTAACAACACTTGCCTCTAGGTGCTGCTCACTAACAACACTTGCCTCTAGGTGCTGCTCACTAACAACACTTGCCTCTAGGTGCTGCTCACTAATAACACTTGCCTCTAGGTGCTGCTCGCTAACAACACTTGCCTCTAGCTGCTGCTGCTCACTAACAACACTTGCCTCTAGGTACTGCTACTCACTAACAACACTTGCCTCTAGCTGGCTGCTCGCTAACAACACTTGCCTCTAGGTGCTGCTTCTCGCTAACAACACTTGCCTCTTGTGCTGCTCGCTAACAACACTTGCCTCTAGGTGTGCTCACTAACAACACTTGCCTCTAGGTGCTCGCTAACAAAACTGCCTCTAGGTTGCTGCTCGCTAACAACACTTGCCTCTAGGTGCTGCTCACTAACAACACTTGCCTCTAGGTCCTGTTCACTCGTTAACAACACTTGCCTCTAGGTGCTGCTCGCTAACAACACTTGCCTCTAGGTGCTGCTCACTAACAAAACTTGCCTCTAGCTGCTCACTAACAACACTTGCCTCTAGGTGCTGCTGCTCGCTAACAACACTTGCCTCTAGGTGCTGCTCACTAACAAAAACTTGCCTCTAGCTGCTCACTAACAACACTTGCCTCTAGGTGCTCGCTACTCACTAACAACACTTGCCTCTAGGTGCTGCGCTCACTAACAACACTTGCCTCTAGGTGCTGCTCACTAACAACACTTGCCTCTAGGTGCTGCTACTCACTAACAACACTTGCCTCTAGGTGATGCTCGCTAACAACACTTGCCTCTAGGTGCTGCTCACTAACAACACTTGCCTCTAGGTGCTGCTGCTCGCTAACAACACTTGCCTCTAGGTGCTGCTCACTAACAACACTTGCCTCTAGGTGCTGCTCGCTAACAACACTTGCCTCTAGGTGCTGCTCGCTAACAACACTTGCCTCTAGGTGCTCACTTACTAACAACACTTGCCTCTAGGTGCTGCTCACCAACAACACTTGCCTCTAGGTGCTCACTTACTAACAACACTTGCCTCTAGGTGCTGCTCACTAACAACACTTGCCTCTTGGTGCTGCTCGCTAACAACACTTGCCTCTAGGTGCTGCTACTCACTAACAACACTTGCCTCTAGGTGGTGCTCGCTAACAACACTTGCCTCTAAGTGCTGCTCGCTAACAACACCTGCCTCTAGCTGCTGCTCGCTAACAACACTTGCCTCTAGGTGCTGCTCGCTAACAACACTATCCTCTAGGTGGTGCTCGCTAACAACACTTGCCTCTAGGTGATGCTCACTAACAACACTTGCCTCTAGGTGCTGCTCGCTAACAACACTTGCCTCTAGGTGCTGCTCGCTAACAACACTAGCCTCTAGGTGCTGCTCGCGAACAACACTTGCCTCTAGGTGATGCTCACTAACAACACTTGCCTCTAGGTGATGCTCACTAACAACACTTGCCTCTAGGTGCTGCTCGCTAACAACACTTGCCTCTAGGTGCTGCTCACTAACAACACTTGCCTCTAGGTGCTGCTCACTAACAACACTTGCCTCTAGGTGCTGCTCGCTAACAACACTTGCCTCTAGGTGCTGCTCACTAACAACACTTGCCTCTAGGTGCTACTCGCTAACAACACTTGCCTCTAGGTGCTGCTCGCTAACAACACTTGCCTCTAGGTGCTTCTCGCTAACAACACTTGCCTCTAGCTGCTGCTCACTAACAACACTTGCCCTGAGGTGCTGCTCGCTAACAACACTTGCCCTGAGGTGCTCGCTAACAACACTTGCCTCTAGGTGGTGTTCGCTAACAACACTTGCCTCTAGGTGCTGCTCACTAACAACACTTGCCTCTAGGTGCTGCTCGATAACAACACTTGCCTCTAGGTGCTCACTAACAATACTTGAGGTGCTCGCTAACAACACTTGCCTCTAGGTGCTCACTAGCTAAGAACACTTGCCCTGAGCTGCTCGCTAACAACACTTGCCTCTAGGTGCTCACTCGCTAACAGCACTTGCCCTGAGCTGCTCGCTCGCTAACAGCCCTTGGCCCCTCCGGCCTGCGAGAGGCTACACGGGGGAGCTTTGCCTTTACCCAGGCTGCAGGCCTGGCCCTGCAGGGCCAGCAGCTGCAGCTCGTACGCCTCATCCTCGCCCGACGCAGCGGAGACAATGAGAAGACGTCGCCTCCACCGGAAGCTGGTGCATTGTGGGGGACGGGGGGACAGGTGCATTGTGGGGGAAGGGGGGACAGGGAGAGGTGCATTGTGGGGGAAGGGGGAGACAGGGAGAGGTGCATTGTGGGAGATGGGGGGACAGGGAGAGGTGCATTGTGGGGGAAGGGGGGGAGATGGGGAGACAGGGAGAGGTGCATTGTGGGGGGAGGGGAGACAGGGAGAGGTGCATTGTGGGGGAAGGGGGGACAGGGAGAGGTGCATTGTGGGGGAAGGGGGGACAGGGAGAGGTGCATTGTGGGGGAAGGGGGGACAGGGAGAGATGCATTGTGGGGGAAGGGGGGGGGGGGAGATGGGGAGAGGTGCATTGTGGGGGGAGGGGGGACAGGGAGAGGTGCATTGTGGGGGAAGGGGGGACAGGGAGAAGTGCATTGTGGGGAGATGGGGAGACAGGGAGAGGTGCATTGTGGGGGGAGGGGGAGACAGGGAGAGGTGCATTGTGGGGGAAGGGGGGACAGGGAGAGGTGCATTGTGGGGGGAGGGGAGACAGGGAGAGGTGCATTGTGGGGGAAGGGGGGACAGGGAGAGGTGCATTGTGGGGGAAGGGGAGACAGGGTGAGGTGCATTGTGGGGGAAGGGGGGACAGGGAGAGGTGCATTGTGGGGGAAGGGGGGACAGGGAGAGGTGCATTGTGGGGGGAGGGGGGACAGGGAGAGGTGCATTGTGGGGGGAGGGGAGGACAGGGAGAGGTGCATTGTGGGGGAGGGGGAGGGGGGGACAGGGAGAGGTGCATTGTGGGGGAAGGGGGGAGATGGGGAGAGGTGCATTGTGGGAGGAGAAGGGGAGACAGGGAGAGGTGCATTGTGGGGGAAGGGGGGACAGGGAGAGGTGCATTGTGGGGGGAGGGGGGGGGGGAGATGGGTAGACAGGGAGAGGTGCATTGTGGGGGAAGGGAGGACAGGGAGAGGTTCATTGTGGGGGAAGGGGGGACAGGGAGAGGTGCATTGTGGGGGACGGGGAGACAGGGAGAGGTGCATTGTGGGGAAGGGGGGACAGGGAGAGGTACATTATGGGGGAGGGGGGACAGGGAGAGGTGCATTGTGGGGGATGGGGAGACAGGGAGAGGTGCATTGTGGGGGAAGGGGGGACAGGGAGAGGTGCATTGTGGGGGAAGGGGGGACAGGGAGAGGTGCATTGTGGGGGACGGGGAGACAGAGAGAGGTGCATTGTGGGGGAAGGGGGGACAGGGAGAGGTGCATTGTGGGGGGAGGGGGACAGGGAGAGGTGCATTGTGGGGAAGGGGAGACAGGGAGAGGTGCATTGTGGGGGACGGGGAGACAGAGAGAGGTGCATTGTGGGGGATGGGGGAGACAGGGAGAGGTGCATTGTGGGTGAAAGGGGACAGGAGAGGTGCATTGTGGGGGATGGGGAGACAGGGAGAGGTGCATTGTGGGGGAAGGGGGGACAGGGAGAGGTGCATTGTGGGGGAAGGGGGGACAGGGAGAGGTGCATTGTGGGGGAACGGGAGACAGGGAGAGGTGCATTGTGGGGGAAGGGGGGACAGGGAGAGGTGCATTGTGAAGGAAGGGGGGACAGGGAGAGGTGCATTGTGGGGGAAGGGGAGACAGGGAGAGGTGCATTGTGGGGGAAGGGGGGGGAGACAGGGAGAGGTGCATTGTGGGGGGAGGGGGGACAGGGATAGGTGCATTGTGGGGAGAGGGGCGGGAGACGGGGAGAGGTGCATTGTGGGGGAAGGGGGGGACAGGGAGAGGTGCATTGTGGGAGATGGGGAGACAGGGAGAGGTGCATTGTGGGGGGAAGGGGAGACAGGGAGAGGTGCATTGTGGGGGAAGGGGAGACAGGGAGAGGTGCATTGTGGGGGAAGGGGGGACAGGGAGAGGTGCATTGTGGGAGATGGGGGGGACAGGGAGAGGTGCATTGTGGGAGGAGGGGGGGGGAGACAGGGAGAGGTGCATTGTGGGGGGGGGGGGAGATGGGGAGAGGTGCATTGTGGGGGAAGGGGTGGACAGGGAGAGGTGCATTGTGGGGAAAGGGGGGACAGGGAGAGGTGCATTGTGGGGGAAGGTGGGGACAGGGAGAGGTGCATTGTGGGGGGGAGGGGGGGAGACGGGGAGAGGTGCATTGTGGGGGAAGGGGGGACAGGGAGAGGTGCATTGTGGGGGACGGGGAGACAGAGAGAGGTGCATTGTGGGGGATGGGGAGACAGGGAGAGGTGCATTGTGGGGGAAAGGGGGACAGGGAGAGGTGCATTGTGGGGGATGGGGAGACAGGGAGAGGTGCATTGTGGGGGAAAGAGGGACAGGGAGAGGTGCATTGTGGGGGAAGGGGGGACAGGGAGAGGTGCATTGTGGGGAAACAGGAGACAGGGAGAGGTGCATTGTGGGGGAAGGGGGGACAGGGAGAGGTGCATTGTGAAGGAAGGGGGGACAGGGAGAGGTGCATTGTGGGGGAAGGGGGGGGAGACAGGGAGAGGTGCATTGTGGGGGGAGGGGGGACAGGGAGAGGTGCATTGTGGGGAGAGGGGCGGGAGACGGGGAGAGGTGCATTGTGGGGGAAAGGGGGACAGGGAGAGGTGCATTGTGGGAGATGGGGAGACAGGGAGAGGTGCATTGTGGGGGAAGGGGAGACAGGGAGAGGTGCATTGTGGGGGAAGGGGAGACAGGGAGAGGTGCATTGTGGGGGATAGGGGGACAGGGAGAGGTGCATGTGCGAGATGGGGGGACAGGGAGAGGTGCAGTGTGGGGGATGGGGAGACAGGGAGAGGTGCATTGTGGGGGAAGGGGGGACAGGGAGAGGTGCATTGTGGGGAAGGGGGGACAGGGAGAGGTGCATTGTGGGGGAACGGGAGACAGGGAGAGGTGCATTGTGGGGGAAGGGGGACAGGGAGAGGTGCATTGTGAAGGAAGGGGGGACAGGGAGAGGTGCATTGTGGGGGAAGGGGGGGGAGACAGGGAGATTTGCATTGTGGGGGGAGGGGGGACAGGGATAGGTGCATTGTGGGGAGAGGGGCGGGAGACGGGGAGAGGTGCATTGTGGGGGAAGGGGGGACAGGGAGAGGTGCATTGTGGGAGATGGGGAGACAGGGAGAGGTGCATTGTGGGGGAAGGGGAGACAGGGAGAGGTGCATTGTGGGGGAAGGGGAGACAGGGAGAGGTGCATTGTGGGGGAAGGGGGGACAGGGAGAGGTGCATTGTGGGAGATGGGGGGACAGGGAGAGGTGCATTGTGGGAGGAGGGGGGGGGGAGACAGGGAGAGGTGCATTGTGGGGGGGGGGGGGGGAGATGGGGAGAGGTGCATTGTGGGGGAAGGGGGGACAGGGAGAGGTGCATTGTGGGGGAAGGGGGGACAGGGAGAGGTGCATTGTGGGGGAAGGTGGGGACAGGGAGAGGTGCATTGTGGGGGGGGAGGGGGGGGAGACGGGGAGAGGTGCATTGTGGGGGAAGGGGGGACAGGGAGAGGTGCATTGTGGGAGATGGGGAGACAGGGAGAGGTGCATTGTGGGGGAAGGGGAGACAGGGAGAGGTGCATTGTGGGGGAAGGGGGGACAGGGAGAGTTGCATTGTGGGAGATGGGGGGACAGAGAGAGGTGCATTGTGGGAGGAGGGGGGGGGAGACAGGGAGAGGTGCATTGTGGGGGGGGGGGGGGGAGATGGGGAGAGGTGCATTGTGGGGGAAGGGGGGACAGGGAGAGGTGCATTGTGGGGGAAGGGGGGACAGGGAGAGGTGCATGGTGGGGGAAGGGGGGACAGGGAGAGGTGCATTGTGGGAGATGGGGAGACAGGGAGAGGTGCATTGTGGGGGAAGGGGGGACAGGGAGAGGTGCATTGTGGGGGACGGGGGGACAGGGAGAGGTGCATTGTGGGAGGAGGGGGGACAGGGAGAGGTGCATTGTGGGGGAAGGGGGGACAGGGAGAGGTGCATTGTGGGGGACAGGGAGACAGGGAGAGGTGCATTGTGGGGGACAGGGAGACGGGGGAGAGGTGCATTGTGGGGGACGGGGAGACAGGGAGAGGTGCATTGTGGGGGACGGGGAGACAGGGAGAGGTGCATTGTGGGAGATGGGGAGACAGGGAGAGGTGCAATGTGGGGGAAGGGGGGACAGGGAGAGGTGCATTGTGGGGGAGGGGGGGAGATGGGGGGACAGGGAGAGGTGCATTGTGGGGGAAGGGGGGACAGGGAGAGGTGCATTGTGGGGGAAGGGGGACAGGGAGAGGTGCATTGTTGGGGAAGGGGGGACAGGGAGAGGTGCATTGTGGGGGAAGGGGGGACAGGGAGAGGGCATTGTTGGGGAAGGGGGGGGGAGATGGGGAGAGGTGCATTGTGGGGGGAGGGGGGGGGACACAGGGAGAGGTGCATTGTGGGGGACGGGGAGACAGGGAGAGGTGCATTGTGGGGGAAGGGGGGACAGGGAGAGGTGCATTGTGGGGGGAGATGGGGAGACAGGGAGAGGTGCATTGTGGGGGGAGGGGGGGGAGGATGGGGAGAGGTGCATTGTGGGAGGAGACAGGAAGATGGGCAGAGGTGCATTGTGGGAGAGAGGGGGACAGAGAGAGCGGCATTGTGGGGGACATGGTAACACAGGTGAAGAAGAGGTGCATTGTGGGGGACAGGATGACACAGGGAAGAAGCGGTGCATTGTGGGGGGACGGGGTGACACAGGGGAAGAAGCGGTGCATTGTGGGGGACAGTGCGACACAGGGTGAAGAAGCGGTGCATTGTGGGGGACAGGGTGACACAGGGTGAAGAAGAGGTGCATTGTGGGGGACAGTGCGACGCAGGGCGAAGAAGAGGTGCATTGTGGGAGACAGTGTGACACAGGGCGAAGAAGAGGTGCATTGTGGGAGACAGGGTGACACAGGGTGACACAGGGTGAAGAAGAGGTGCATTGTGGGAGATAGGGTGACACAAGGGGAAGAAGAGGTGCATTGTGGGGGACAGTGCGACACAGGGTGAAGAAGAGGTGCATTGTGGGAGACAGGGTGACACAGGGTGAAGAAGAGGTGCATTGTGGGGGACAGGGTGACACAGGGTGAAGAAGAGGTGCATTGTGGGAGACAGTGCGTCGCAGGGGGAAGAAGCGGTGCATTGTGGGGGGACGGGGCGACGCAGGGTGAAGAAGAGGTGCATTGTGGGGGACAGGGTGACACAGGGGGAAGAAGTGGTGCATTGTGGGGGGACGGGGTGACACAGGGTGAAGAAGAGGTGCATTGTGGGAGACAGGGTGACAGAGAGAGGTGCATTGTGGGAGACAGGGTGACACAGGGTGAAGAAGCGGTGCATTGTGGGGGACAGTGCGACACAGGGGGAAGAAGAGGTGCATTGTGGGGGACGGTGTGACAGAGAGAGCTGCATTGTTGGAGACGGGGTGACACAGGGTGAAGAAGCGGTGCATTGTGGGGGACAGGGTGACACAGGGTGAAGAAGAGGTGCATTGTGGGGGGACGGGGCGACACAGGGTGAAGAAGAGGTGCATTGTGGGGGGACAGGGTGACAGAGAGAGGTGCATTGTGGGGGTGGACGGGGCGACACAGGGCGAAGAAGCGGTGCATTGTGGGGGTGGACGGGGCGACACAGGGTGAAGAAGAGGTGCATTGTGGGGGGACAGGGTGACAGAGAGAGCTGCATTGTGGGGGTGGACGGGGCGACGCAGGCGGAAGACGCGGTGCATTGTGGGAAGTCCCGCCCCGCGCGACCTCTGACCGGGACAGGAAGTCGCCGAGTGCCGCCCCCCCGTGGCCCGGTGCCGCCCCCCCTGGACGCCTCCTCGCAGCGCAGGCCGAGGCGCCGCTCCTCCTCCTCCTCCCGCGCGCGCCCCGCAGTCCCGTCAAGCACCTCGAGCACCGTCTCCATGGCGACGGGGGAGTCGTACGATCGCTATGGAGACGGGGAGGTGGGTGGGGGGGAGTTTTAGTGCCCCCAGCACCGTCTCCATGGCGACGGGGGAGTCGTACGATCGCTATGGAGACGCGCGGGGAGGTGGGTTGGGTGAGTGGGGTGGGGTTTCAGTGCACCTCGAGCACCGTCTCCATGGCGACGGGGGAGTCGTACGATCGCTATGGAGACGCGCGGGAGGTGGGTGGGTGGGGAGGAGTTTCAGTGCACCTCGAGCACCGTCTCCATGGCGACGGGGGGGGGGAGTCGTTACGGTCGCTATGGAGACGCGCGGGGAGGTGGGTGGGGGTTTCAGTGCACCTCGAGCACCGTCTCCATGGGGACGGGGGAGTCGTACGATCGCTATGGAGACGGGAGGTGTGTGGGGGGGAGTTTTAGTGCCCCCAGCACCGTCTCCATGGCGACGGGGGAGTCGTACGATCGCTATGGAGATGGGCGGGGAGGTGGGTTGGGTGGGGGGGAGTTTCAGTGCACCTCGAGCACCGTCTCCATGGCGACGGGGGAGTCGTACGATCGCTATGGAGACGCGCGGGGAGGTGGGTGGGTTGGGTGGGTTTCAGTGCACCTCGAGCACCGTCTCCATGGCGACGGGGGGTGGAGTTGTACAGTCGCTATGGAGACGCGCGGGGAGGTGGGTGGGTGGGTGGGTGGGGGGGAGTTTCAGTGCACCTCGAGCACCGTCTCCATGGCGACGGGGGGGGGGGGGAGTCGTACGGTCGCTATGGAGACGCGCGGGGAGGTGGGTGGGTGGGGCGGAGTTTCAGTGCACCTCGAGCACCGTCTCCATGGCGACGGGGGGAGTCGTACGATCGCTATGGAGACGCGCGGGGAGGTGGGTGGGTTGGGTGGGAGTTTCAGTGCACCTCGAGCACCGTCTCCATGGCGACGGGGTGGAGTCGTACGGTCGCTATGGAGACGGGGAGGTGGGTGGGTGGAGGGGTTTCAGTGCCCCGAGCACCATCTCCATGGCAACGGGGGGTGGAGTTGTACGGTCGCTATGGAGACGGGGAGGTGGGTGAGTGGGGGGGAGTTTCAGTGCCCCTCGAGCACCGTCTCCATGGCGACGGGGGGTGGGGAGTCGTACGATCGCTATGGAGACGCGCGGGGAGGTGGGTGGGGGTTTCAGTGCACCTCGAGCACCGTCTCCATGGCGACGGGGGGTGGAGTCGTACGGTCGCTATGGATACGGGGAGGGAGGTGGGTTGGGGGGGTTTCAGTGCACCTCTAGCACCGTCTCCATGGCGACGGGGGGTGGAGTTGTACGGTCGCTATGGAGATGGGGAGGTGGGTGGGTGGGGCGGAGTTTCAGTGCCCCTCGAGCACCGTCTCCATGGCGACGGGGGTGGAGTCGTACAGTCGCTATGGAGACGGGGAGGTGGGTGGGTGGGGGGGAGTTTCAGTGCCCCTTGAGCACCGTCTCCATGGCGACGGGGGGGGAGTCGTACGGTCGCTATGGAGACGGGGAGGTGGGTGGGTGGGGGGGAGTTTCAGTTCCCCCAGCACCGTCTCCATGGCGACGGGGGGAGTCGTACGGTCGCTATGGAGACGCGGCCATCGTGAACCCACCGACCGTGACCGCATCGTGACCCCGTGACCTTAGTGTGACCCTCACGTGACCCTTTCCTTTACCCCTCTGAGACCCCTCTGTGACCTCAACTACCCCCTCCTCGTGACCCCCCGTGACCTCTCCTACCCCCCCTCCTCCGTGACCCCCCGTGACCCCTCCTACCCTCCTCGTCGTGACCCCACGTGACCCCTCCTACCCTCCCCCCCAGTGACGCCACGTGACTCCCCCTACCCCCCTCTCCTCGTGACCCCCTCCCCCCCCCCGCGTGACGCCACGTGACTCCCCCCTACCCCCCTCCTCGTGACCCCACGTGACCCACTCCCCCCCCCCCCGCGTGACGCCACGTGACTCCCCCTACCCCCCTTCTCGTGACCCCACGTGACCCCCTCCCCCCCCCGCGTGACGCCACGTGACTCCCCCTACCCCCCCCCCCGCGTGACGCCACGTGACTCCCCCCTCTCCTCGTGGCCCCACGTGACCCCCCCCTCCCACCCCCCCCCCCCCCCCCGCGTGACGCCACGTGACTCCCCCTACCCCCCCTCCTCGTGACCCCACGTGACTCCCCCTACCCCCCCCCCCCCGCGTGACGCCACGTGACTCCCCCTACCCCCCCCCCCCCGCGTGACGCCACGTGACTCCCCCCTTCCCCCCTCTCCTCGTGACCCCCACGTGACCCCCTCCCCCCCCTCCCCTCCTCGTCGTGGACCCCACG